GCCCAAGTCTGTACAGAAATCTCTTATTGCCATTGCTCTCAGGTAGAAAGGAAAACCCTCACACCTGGCCATGATGAAAGCAGCAACTGGAGAGCTTACTCTAGCACAGATCACACTAGACCCCTCCCCTCCAACAATTCCATCCTTCTTCTCCCCCTCCCTGACCTTCATCCTAGGTTCTTGCCACACAAACCTTGTAGTTGCCTTTATCCTGCTTTGCCCTGCTAGCAGGAACATTTTTTTTAATATGGAACACTTCACAAATCTGTGTGCTGTCCTCGCTCAGGGGCCTTGTTATTGTTCCAACTTTAGTGTATGTGTTGCTGAAGCAAGCATGCTACCAGGAACACTTTCCCCTTTTGCCCTTCAAGATGCCACTTGTTCTGTGAAGGCTTTCATCCCCCTCAATATGCCCTCCTCACTAGACTGAAAGCTCCTTGAGGGCAAGAACTGTGTCTTGTTCTCCTCTGTGACCTCAGCACCCAGCACAGAGATTATGCCATGTGGACACCGGTAAAGGCTTATGCAATGCCTGTACAGAGAAGTGGACCTGATTGAACCAAGGAGCACAGTGCCCACCATGTGAGATTCTCAGACGTTGGAAGCCTGGGCAATAGCTACCCAAGAGTCATCCCTACAATTTTTCTCAAAATGCGCCTCATGTTTCCCTATGGGAGAAACAATATGAGATGACACAAAGGCATCTTTAATTTTAATAGTCATTTATTGTATGTTTTAAAATGTAATAAACACGTCAAATCTTTATTACTACTTAGAGTAGATGAGGACAAAATAGGTATTAAAGTTTTTTAAATGAATGGATACACACAGAAATATTTTAGGTGACTAATGATGCAGATGTTAAATAAATATGACAATATTCCTAAAAGAACTCCTCATGTGATGGTAGCTGTAAAAATATTTTTCAACAGTCCTGTCTTAGTTACTTTTTCTCATTGCTGAGACAAAATACTCAAAGTTAAAGGGGAAAAGGTTTATTTAGCTCATAATTTGTAGAGGTTTCAGACCCCAGTTGGCTGGCTCCAAGGCAGAGTGGCACATGGCAGAGAACAGTTCACAGTGGAGAGAAACAAGGGACAACCACAGTTCTTTTCTGCTCCTTTTATCTTATCCAGGGTACTTAGGGCAGGTAGTACTCACACCCTTAATCCTAGTGCCCTTGGGCCTAGCACTGCACCAGAGTCGCACACTCTAGATCCAGACACCTCTGAAAAAGCCCCACTTATGTCCACATGAGGCTGGGGGGCACCTAAATACAAGCCATAACAAGTACTACATTTACCTTTCTGTTCCTTTCTGGTGCCACTCAGCCTCCAAGTGTTCTGGGGTCACTCTAACATTCCTCCAACCTGCTATGACTCAGTCTGCTGAACTCATTTGCCACCTCTCCTGGTAGCATTGATTCTCCATATATTAGCATGTGTTTGCTCACCTCAGCCACACTTCTAAGGTCCTTAAGAGCAATGATCAAGTTTGAATTGAATCCAGGAACACTGAGCTATATCCCTGACTCCCTTTTAAAATTTTATCTTGAGAAATGGTCTAAGTTGCCCACACTAGCCTCAAATTTGTGATCCTCCTGCTTCCGCCTCCCAAGTAGCTAGGATTACAGGTGTGCACCACTAGACCTGGCTATGAGCAATGACCAAGCTCTAGGCCTCTGTGGGCTGACTAGAAAAGTGCATGATCAGCTGTTCCATATGTAGCTCTACAGATGTTTGGTCTTTTGATGAATAGGTATTGCACACCTGTTCCATGCCAGGCAGCACTGAGGGTGCTAACAATGGAGTAATGAACAAAACAGGCATACAGCTTGTAAAGATAGACAGCACACTAATAAAGAAATGTGGTGGGCTGGGAATGTTGCTCAGTGGCACTATGCCTGTCTGGCAAGTGCAAGAGTTCAATCCCTGGTACTGGGGGGAAAAAAAGAAATTCAGTATGTTTTCAGTGTGCTAGGTGCATTGATGAAAATAAAATAAGACCATGTGACAAAAAATAAGTGACTTGGTGGCTACTCAGCCTGGGTGGTCATAAAGCCTCTCAGAGATGACTTGAGTTGACATCTTTCAACTCAATGTAGCAGAGGTGATGAAATAGGTAAGGAATGAGATCTAAGAACAAAGCATCCCAGGCAGAAGAAACAGCAAGTGCACAGGAGGAGAAAGCCCTGAGAGGGAAAGGAATTGGTGTGTTCACACCATACCAAGAAGATCTGTGTGGCTGGAACCAAGTGACCAGGGAGGGCACAGGGAGGAGATAACACACAAGGAACCATATTCTGCAGGTGATTCACTCAGATATTATTCTAGGTGTGACTGGAGACCACTAGAAGTTTTGGGGCATAAGGGTAATGTGATCTGATGTATAAACAAATGCTCTGACTGCTCTATTCAGAGTAGGTTGTAGAGGTCAAGGATGGAAGCAGGGAGACTAGAGTCATCCATGCAATAAGTGGTAGTGGTTTGGAGTAGTGATGGCAGTGAAGGGTGGAGGAACGTAGACAGATCTGGAATATATTTTGAGGTAGAATACACAGGGCTTGCTAATGGATTGAGGAAAACAGTTATAAACCAAAAGAGAACGGTGTCCCATAGTCAGTGTCATGAAAAAAAGCACAAGGAGGCTCTTGTATATCTGCACTGTCCAACAGACCTACCACTAGCCACATGGGACTATTTAAATTCAGTTCATTTTCATTAACCATATTTCAAGTGCTTAATAGTCACATGTAAGCACTGGCTACCATATCAGGCAAAAAGTTTTACTGTACAACATGCTCTACATTTAAAAACCTAAATATTAAGAGAATAAAAAGACAAGCCACAAACTTGGAAAATATTTGCAAATCCTGTATCTTGCAAAGGATTGTATATCCACATCCACAAAATACAAAGAACTAGTAAAACAATAAGAAAACAAGCAACCCAGTGTAAAAGTGGGCAGCCAGGCATGGGTGTGCAAGTATAACCCAGTACTCAGGAGGCTGAAATAGGACAACCTAACAGGAGGATCACAAGATTTGAGGCCAGCCAAGGCAACTTATTGGGACCCAGTCTCAATTTTTTTTAAAGGAACTGGAAAGATAGCTAAGTGGTAGAGCACATGCCTAATGTGAGAGGCCCTAGGCTCAATCCCTAGTACTGAAAAGTGCAAAAGATGTGAACAGGCAGCTCACCAAAGAAGATATACAGATGGCAAGAAAGAATATGAAAAGCTGTTCAACGTCATGTATTACTAAGGAATTGCAAACTAAAACAATGAGATACCACTACAAACCTATTAGAATGGCTAAAATCCAAGACACTAACAACATCAAGTGCTGGAGATGATGTACAGCAAGAGAAACTCTCATTTATTGCTGGCTGGAATGCAAAATGACACAGCTACTTGGAAAGACAGTTCAGCAGTTTGTGCCAAAGTTAACTAGTCCTACTATATGATCCAACAATTGTTGTCCTTGTACATACCTGAATAAGTTGAAAACTCTGTCCATACAAGAAACTGATATGTATGACAGCTTCACTTATAATTTCCAAAACTTGGAAACAACCAAGACAACCTTCAGCGTGCAAATAGATAAACTGTGGTACATCCAGACAATGGAATACTACTATTTAGTGCTAGAAAGAAATGAACTATCAAAACACAGAAGACATGGAAGAAACTTAAATATATATTGCTAAAGGAAGGCACTCTGAAAAGGCTACATACTGGATGACTCCAACAATATAACATTGTGAAAAATACAAAACTATAGATACAGAAAAAAAGGAGCAAATTCCAGTCTTCTGGAGAAGGGAGGGATGAATCAGTGGACTTGGGATTTTTAGGACAAGGAAACTATTTTGTGATGGTGGATACATAACAGGCACTTTTTTTTTTTTTTTTTT